GTGAAAAGTCATACACGCCATTGTTCGGTCACACCAATATGATGCAGTTTGGCGAGAGCTTTTCAATACAAGCTTTACCGTCGCTCTAGCTTGCCTAATTTTTGGCATCACAGATGGACTGTTCCACATTTGTCAAGGGTCCTGAACTGAGGTAGCCATTTTCAAGACCATTCCCTGCAGGTCACAGTTATACCCTCCCAAGCCTGCAAATATTAACATTTCTCAGTTAGGTACACACGAATCTGTGCAGGCTATGTCGCAGCACATAACTGGAAGTCATCCAGTGACTTGTGGCGCTATAGAAACGCCACACACATTCTGCATCCTCCATGGCACATTGTGTTCAAGCTTAAGGAAATTTCGACCATTGACTTGTTCGCATCTGGGGTACGTCAGCACGAATGGTCGCATCAGCGGAGAGCAGCAGGCTTTCAACCAGCTTAACACGTCACATGCTAGTTTCGAATATGATTGGTGATTTGGACTGGAGCTCTTTCGGCCAGTAATGACTATTTCAGGGCTATCGGATGGACGAGAATGGATAACGGTCGGGCCAGACCGCATGCATCTGGGGACGCATCCGTCTAGACCTAGCCCGCACAGGGCCCCTCAGCGAGGTGTGTGCTTTGGCGCGCGGACGGAGGCCCCCACCAGGGGCGCTTCGGCCCACTCGTGGCTGGCGCATACAGCCTGACCCGGCTAAGCAGGGCGTCGCGAGGTTGCAGGCTGAAGCAAGAAAGAAGATAAAAGTGACAGGTGAGTCAAAGGCGAACCACGTTTTGTGATGCATAATACAGGCATTTGGACGGTTCTTGTGAGGACAGAAATGAGGCTGGAAATAAACTAAGTTGAAGGAAGTGTTCCACATTTATATGGGGTTTTAAACTGGCATTGCCATCTTAAGGATGCAATCAAACCATGACGCATCCAGGAGCATATTTACTTGACAGAGAATTGTGCTATCTAGAGCAGTCTTTTCCACTTGAACAGTATGCTGTTATTTATAATAAGTTTGTTTTATCACATACGATGTCTGCTTCAGTGTCTTCAAACATGAAACATTCCCTTTAACAATAACGCAGCAATCGAAAATGCAAATGTAAAAACATACGATATCTCAGGCAAATCTACCGGAAGATCACGAGCGAAGGTCAATACACGCATATGACGATCGTAGGTTTAGTTTACGTTGCAACGAGTCGAATGAGTCGGACGTTGCAACACGTGGCAGCGAGTTGAAGCACTGCAGGCGAGTCAGCCCGTCCACTACAGTGACAATTGTGACGCGGCCAGTCTGGCAGTGGCTCTGGTGTCATAAGCACTTCACTGACGTAATCAATCGATGACATATTGAGAAGTTTAGTTACTTAAAGTGAGATTGTGTTGTCTTCATTTATATTGTGCCAGTCGTTTGCGCTTTAATGCATACCAATAGTTTCAAGCGAGCTTTTTCCATCATATCTGATGCTTCCATCACCATTTTCAGACACGCAACATTGCATTTTTAGGGGACTACTGAGGCCTCCTGCCGTAGGGCGACGGTGAAAACAACGCATCCCAAGGGCGAGGCTCAAGGGCCTTGATCTGCAGCCTGATTGCAATCTGTTCGGATATGCATTCCATTAACGACATTTCGACACACATGGATTCAACAAAAGAACTTGAGCTCATTAGCATTTGACTAGAGAATATTAGAATGAAGAAGACATTAGAATGAAGAGGAAGAGAAGAAGAAGATAGAAGAAATGAGCACTCGAATAATAAAGTCGGAAAATAAGTGCACGCTGTACTCTAAAGTGAACAAAGGAACTAAACGGACATTTTCGAAGTTGAAATAACGCGCGCAGGGTATGGAATTTACCAAGAGACGCAGGACCGCTCCGGCTGTTGCTTGACCTCCGTCGCCGCCGCCGCAAAACAAGGACGCTCAGTCGAATGCAATGCCATCGTAGGGGCACCCCCTGACCGACGTCACGTGACTTCAGCGGCGCGAAGAGCACCGGGACTGTCGCCTTAGCTGTATGAGCGGCGTCATTTGGCAGTTGAAGTAGAACTGTCTCGATGCTATTTTAGGAGGACAAGAAAGAATAGGTACAGTCATCCAAAGAGTTATCGCGTACTTGGGCCAAGACCCGCCGGTCAAACAAAGAAGGGTTCGTTCAGGACCAGGCGCCGTATTCCAACGACGATCCGCGCAGCTTTGCTTCGTAGAAACTTGAAGAGTCACGTTCTTACAGGCGGCGATGCGCAATCCTGTTCGACGATGTAGATGTCGCTACTATCCATCATAGCCGCTGCCCGTGCCTTTTCAGCTTGTGCAGAAAAAGATGGGGTGTTTGCGCAAAGTACATTGATAAATGGGGACATCCCAGAGCAACGCTTTGTCCTTATCTTATTGTTGTGCAGGTGCAGTGTCGGTGGCGACGGATCCTGCGAGGAGGTGAAGCCGGGGGAATAGGGAAGGGGGTGGTACAAGTTCGATGACTGCCCCGTTCCTTTTCATGGAACATAATAAATAGAGTAAATGTTAATATTTTCCCAAATTTGATGAGCGGCCGCACCCAGTGACCTCCCCCTTTCCTCCACGGCTTCCGTCGTCGCTCCGTGTTCCCTCCACAACTTCACCGACGGCGGTGCTCACACTGGCAGGTGGATGTTCCCTGTTGCGTCCCTGCCATAGCACGTTTGTCTGTAGTCATAGCTCTTTTCAGTCACAAAATGTACAAAATATTCGTTCTTGTGCGTCTTGGCATCCGATCCTATCTAACGAGAGGACACGCTAACTAGTGCCGTAAAGCACTTAGCTTCGGATCGTGGGAACATGGGTTAAGACACGGGGTGATTACCATACTTGCACTCAGGACATACATTACAGCCAGATTGTATTCAATAAGATCAGAAATATTCTTGTATGCAGAAGACTGCATCACGTTGTGCAATACATATATATATATATATATATATATATATATATATATATATATATATATATATATATATTGGCGTGCGTGCACTTGTGCACGATAATCTCTGCCCGGCTCTAGTTTTCTTATTACAGTTCTCTGTTCATCATTGAGACAAAAAAGCATCTCGCTGCTATGTAGTATCTTTTAGTTGGGCTAACGTTTGGGAATATTCAAATATTGACAAATATTGACAAATATGACTTGTTCCATCTTCAAAGATACACACACAAAACATGCAATCGGCGAAAACATGATTCCGTGAAAATAGTTAGACATAATCTAAGGCCGTTTAAGTAAATTGATTAACAAAATACGCACTTAATTTATGATCCATCGGAAATTGCCAACACTTGGCAGCACAGGTAATAATAATAAAGCGGGAAATCCGTTGTGACTCGTCATCTCAGTGTCCAACGTCCACCTACCAATCGGCCGGGTAGCTCAACTGTCTCGTCTCCCCGTACGCTTCCATCGAACATAACCTAAAGCCAACGGACGAGTTTTCGGGCATTCTAAAGAGCACATAGCCCTCTGGCTTACCGGTATTGCTGAACGTTTAAAGCTTAGTCAAGAGTGCTCCGCGAAAACCAACTGCTCAAAACAAAAAGTGCAATGGAACAAGCCACCGTTCTCCGGCTCACCTCCGAACCGAGCGGCACTAAACGCAGTCTGTTCTTAGACACGGACATCTTCGCTGATCATCGATTCTTTAGAATAGTGTACACAAAGCCAACGCAGGCTGGAAGATTCCATGGTCCCATAAGCGAGTGCTCAGGACGGTAAAATATAAGTGAAGCTTGCTCCCTGCCTCCGAAGAGGCTTCCGACTTTGCTTTGACTGGACGCAGCTTCGCAGTAAACAGCAGAGCATCAAACAAATCTTTGTAGATAATGGCTTTTCAACATCGCCATCCACCATGAGATCAACGCCTTTATGACGCAATAACCGGCATAAATGGTGGCGTCAAACATAAACAAAATTAAATTAAACCGCTTTATCAGAATCCAACGTTAACCCCACGCCCAAATATAACCCCTTGAAATGCACAAACGTTGTTTGCCAGTCCTACTGTGATGTAGGGGATTGTAGGCTCCTAAAGCAATCAAACTACGTTGGTGCCACAACCACCACACTCCCAGCGCGGGTGACGACGCACCTGGTTCACAGTACTCTAAAAGAACACAGGACGAACGAACACGCCGAATCATCACCCGAGACGACCTCATATGGATCACCAGTACCCTACCATCATCATTAAACAGGAGAGAGCGTCAGACTCTGGACGCCGTCACCATCAAGGTATCATCTCCGGAACTCAACAAACAACCGAAATTCTCACTTCATCTCATTTAGAAATGATCGTTACCATCAGTATGAATACCGTGTCTTACTTTCCAGCACGTGTTTTGCAGGTTGAATACTCATGTTCCCAAACATGTCAACCGAGGCGATGCATACATGCAAGGCAACTCAAAGCGGGATCATGCAACTCAATCCAAGGCGTATGTAAATGTTAAACATCTGATCTAAACTATGATTTGACAATCCAGCCACGGTCACCAAGTCTTTTTGAAGTTGAATGGATTGCAAATTAATTTCCCTATACCTTACCGTTTTCGTGTAATGTTATCTTCGTCGCTTGAATGTTGTTTATGTGCTTCTTTGACTAAAATGCGGTGACCACGGAACATCAGATCAACTAATAGATGTCAACCTTCGACGACTTATTTTAAAGTCTCGATGCGGAACAGAAACGGTGATTAGAAAACAAGGGCAAATGCAGAAAAAGTTCATTCAATGCACGTACAGCAAGGTCTTAAACAACGTTTGCATAGGTGATAACACACTGGCTAAACACAGCAATAAATATATATATATATATGTATATATATATATATATGTATATAATATATTTCTTCTTGCCGCTGCACACAAGGCCTCGCAAAAAAGGGTACAAGTGGCTCATCGTTCAAACCGTTCGTGGAATTCACCGGGGATAGTGTGGATCTCATGGCATCGCTTGTGTATTTTACTTGCTGTCATCAGCACATGGACACGTCAACATTCGTGACATTTTTACGCCGCGCTTCTTTATCTCGTAATGACAGGATCGGCACATCGACTGTATGAGCTCATCGGCTTTGTTGGATCAAGTGCAGAATGTCATTACCCAGGATCTGTATTCGTGATCACGTATTATGCATCCACAGGAACATTTCACGAAACACAAACTGCAAGTACGGGGTAGGCAAGTACTGAGAGACTATCGAGTTCCTGCCTAGAGCTATTTTGCTGCAGTGGGGTCACACCTTTGTACCAACGTTTAACACAATTACGGCACAGTGAGGAAATCACTTATAAAAAAGCAACGTGATGTGCGATTACAAAAGCCGTTCTAAGCCGCGCTACGGGCAACCACCACGACAATAAACATGAGTGACGGGTTATATAACCAGTCAACCGTCAACGAGAGATCAACGCCTTAGATGAATGTTAGTTAAGACATTGACATTAAATAATTAAGTCTATCATTTAACAACATAATACATTAATGCAAAACACAAATTATAAAAAAACTTAACACCATGATGAATTAATGCTACGCAAACATTCTGAAAAATTATGAATTATGAAGCTTAATATCAAGCGTAAATCGATGCAAGTAGTGTTCCACTCAGAAGTCAGCGGTCAAACGTCAGCTATAGCTACAGCTACGTCAGGTCGGTTACAACGCACAGAGTTATTCAAAATATGTTTGCCCGTGTTTTACATTGCACACCTTTCGCGAGGACATCAACTAACAGCGTACTAGTCACGCTTCTATGTGCGCTTTCGGTACTTTTTATCTTTGCATCGCACGAATAATGTGACGAAAAGCTTCCGGCGTATTCGAAGAGAGCCCACGCATACAGCCAAACAAACTCACCACCTTGCCCTCCCCCCCCTCCCCCCCCCCTTTAAGACCGGATTTTTTGTATTTCACTACAGATGGCTCCCGACAGAAAGTTCAAAATCGGCGTCATGCCTACTTACGGAGCTCTGGGCCCTCCCTTCAGAAACTCCGCCCGTGCAACGTGTATTCTCGGAGAAAACTTATTTCAGCGTCATCTGGCTGAGAGGCGAGATAAACAGAAGTCAAAATGTTCTGACGAAGCACATATTTTTGTTGTCGTTTTCAGACAGGGGGCTGTATTTGAAAACAGTGCTGACGTGGTTCCCACCAACACGGACTAGTTCTTTTCCTTCACCGTTGTCAAGAGCTGGCCGTCTAAGCGTGGTTGTTCAGGCTTCTACGGTCTGGAGATGGGCGGAAGTAAAAATACGCAATCCCTGGACCACAGGCAGCGCTTGGCTGACTGTTCACTGTTTAGGCCATGATGGAGATCAGCAGAAGCATGCTGTCGGGCTGGTTTTCGGGAGGTATTCAGCCGTTTAAGAACTGCTCAAGGGCTTACTGTGGTGCTCCTCGTGTTGCCAGGAGGACGGCTATCATGAAAGGCGCCGTCTCCTGTCTGACTTCAGGCCGCAGCTGTGGAGCTGGAGCTGAGTGTGACCAGAAAGACGGAGATCAAGAACGCCACAGTCGGGAGACGGACGGTCGCACTGTTGCAAAAGTCGGGCATCGTGCAGCAGTACGTCTCGCCGCCGTTCTCCTCTGCAATGATGACGGACATGGTCAGGGGCGCCCGCGGGACGCGGTCGCGAACACGTGCGTCAGTTACGCCAGGACAGGCCTGATCAGCCCTTCGTAAAAAACATGAACTTTATTTATTTATACTGCTTCACGCAAAAGCCTCCGGCCACCATGCGTCTTCAATCGTTCTAACTGATTCATGACAGAGACATCGTTAAGTATGCTGTATTTTCGAGACGCTTCGTTCCGTGTTAAGATACTTATGCTGACTTTCATAAGAGGTTCTGGTAGCCTTTCCACGGTGTCAACTTTACAACAACAAAAAAGAACGACTGAGACCATTTGTCCCTGGCTTACTCATGGCGGTATAAGTCAGGGCTCGAATCATCTAAGTCACTGTATAGGCCTATAACATAGCTTGGTCATAGTGCAGAAGCAAATTCCTGATTGCAGTATCACATGATCACTACGTTTAGATCGAAGACGGACAATTGGACGGTAGATGTACCTATAGGCTAACTTGAGCCCTGCCGGTTCCGACTTTTTGGGGTTCTTAACGCCCCACTTAGCGACAGACAGTGAACAAAGCTGCCAAAGAGACGCATGATTTTGCTCCACGTGTGGAATCGAGGAGAGATGTTCTCCATGCTCTGGCGCCATAAATTAGCAGCGCTCATTAGAGAAATTTACGGATTTGGTGAGTGACCATGTGATTCCCATGCGTAATCAGGTGAAATAGGTAACGGGTGGGTTGAGTGCAACTTTGGGGAAAAAGTGGGTATGGGTACGGGTATATTTAAGATGTATGGGAGAGTGACAGTACATATGCCCCAAAACACTAAACATGTTCCTGCTTACGCCTCTTTTGTTCATAATAAGCTGCATTTCAAACTGCTTTTGGAAGCATTAATATAAAAAATACGTTTATGTATAACCCTTCCATAATCTATACCCAAAAGCGCTGGTGAAATGCCAACAGGTAGGTAACGGTTGGGTACGACTGATTTTGATTGGGTAATGGGTGAGAAACGACACAGCCTCCTGAGGGGCGGGTAGATCGGGTAAAAAGCTCCTAGCCGTGAATAGATCTAGCATTCCCTAACGTACTTACCATCTCCTGCAAGCATGCCAGAAAAACAAGCCATTAAGGGGTGTTCGCGTGATCAAGTTGTGACACAGCTTTGACAATATCTAGAAGCATCACATGCACGAATTTAGAATAACACCATGTCGGAATTTGACTGTTGGGCGAGCCGTGGTATGTTATATAATACTGAGTGAACTGTCCAATAAGCCTGCAAACATTAGGTTAGTGGGTTTTCAACACGTAAAGTTATGACACAACGAGAGGCTGATCACTTGCATAGCAGGCATTATCAGTGGGTATGTAAGTGCATGCACTGGTTGCGCATGTAAGGTAAAAACCTAGCATACGTGCGAACTCCTTCACGAGCGTATGAATTCCTCCTGTTGCGGTTATCTGGCGCCGCAAGTGCTTAAGCTAGACGTATATATATATATATATATATATATATATATATATATATATACATCACCCTCTCACTCTCACTTCATTTCTTCCTCCCTTCCTTCCTCTCCTCCTGTCCCACTCTCCCTCTCTCCCTCTTTCTCTCTCTCCCAACTCCCCTCCCTCTCCAAAGTCAGATAATCACAGCAGCCTATGAGTTCGACAGCTGAGCGAGCTATGGACGGTGCTATACATGCATTTCTAGAACCATCAGTTATCTATGGTACTGAACATCTACATCAAAGCTCAGGATACAAGAGCCACTTTTTTACTTGTTCAGAATATTACATCTAATCACGATTTCTGGCATAAGTTAGCAAGCATACATACAAACATATATATATATATATATATATATATATATATATATATATATACGTTTTTGGCCACCTCACGTCCCTTGGCCCCGTTTTGAGGTGTGTATTACAAATAGTAAACGACACGGCCATACTCACTGTAGGGTATGCAAAAGTCGGTGCACATTTTCACCATTTTCTTGCCATTGACATGTTTCTGAAAGCAGGCAAAAGGTAGGAGGACAGAGACGACGATATTCATCCTAAAATTGCGGTATCTTTTGCGGTCAGCACGGGGTGATGCGTCATTTTGTCCAGACGAGTCCCTTATAATGCAAGATGTGCACTGTATATTTTTCTAAAAAAAATCATTTTTCCAAAAAAAACCTTTGCCTTGCTCACGTCATACTGCCCATCAAGTCGGGTTTAATACCCATTTTCTACCTGTTTTTACCTACTTTCGTATATCGATGCATCTCTGTGTTTATCTTCGGGCCCGACGGGTCGGGCATTTACGCGATAAGACATGCTGGATAGGGACTCGAATCACGACGCCACAGCGCCACCTGAGCAAAACAACTCATGCCATTAAGCTCATTATAAGAATCAGAATCAAACGGTTGGTGAAGCAACGCACACAGCCGTGCCGGCATGATGCCGGCATGCTGCATCCCTTGGTGTCCAGTCATCGCGCCCGCTGGTGCTAGCAACGGCTGGCCCGCCTGCTGCTCGTACCAGGCACATGATGCTGGTGTGGTGGCACTCCTTGCGGTCGGCAGCCGACGTCTGCGTCTTGTTGCAGGCCTCGATGATGCCCTTCTCCTTCGAGAAGCGGCCGCATTCGTGGCATCTGATGGCCAGACCCCGCTCTGAGGAACACACACGGATATATTGAGAGTCAGTGCCTTCCATTTTGAGCGCATATGTATTGACTAAATTGAGAGTACCTTATGTACGCTGATGATGTGATAATTTATCACCGAATCGACGGCGTAACAAATTCTCTCACAATTAAGCAGATTTGGATCGCCTCTGTGAATGATACGAAAACTGGGAACTGAAATTGAACCCAACTAAGTGCAATGTCATCTCATTCACCCTCCGCACGTCACCTGTTCACTCCTCATACGCACTAGGCGGTCACCGCTTGGTTAGCTGCCAGCAGATTCGCGATTTTGACGTCTTCCTGAACACCAAACTCACCTTTGCCGATCGCACAGATTCAGCTGTCTCCAAAGCAAACAGGATCCCGGGCCTTCTCATGCAAAGTATGCAAATGCCGTCGTGTCCTCGTCAAGCGCGGTTCAATCACAAGGCTTTGCTTTGTGCCTTTGACGCTCATGTGAGACCATTGATAGAGTACGGTAGCGTTATTTGGAGCGGTGCTGTCGTTTCCCGTCTCGCCCGGTTCGAAAGACCACAACGCCGGTTTCTCATGTGGCACACATGAGACATGAGGTCTCACATGTGGTGTCACCTTCTCATGTGGCTGGGTTCGAGTAGCCAGTCCCGGTATCCTCCACTGGAAACAGCATCTATCTAGGCACGCTTTGCTCAGCCTGACATCTTATTTCTATTCAACCTATATCATCACAGGCTTGACTGGGCTCACCTGACATCACTATTCCGTCTGGCTACACCCGTCCGGTGTTCTCGGCATACCGGCCTTTTTCCACGAGCCATTTGCAAGTACCAACACTGTCGAAAATGGATTCGTCGCACGACTACCAGTTGTCTGCGATCATTTTTTGCAGCATTCTTCCTCAACTGACTTTTTCCATCCAACAGAATCATTCATATTTGATTTGCTTAGGCTCGCCGGCTCAAGTGGAACGTTCTCTTGATGACCGTTGTGTCTGAATGTGTAAGGTGTATTTACGCCTGTGTGCAGTGTGTATGTGTGTGGTTGCTTGGTTCAGTTTTTTGTCTGTATGTGCATCGTATAATTAATTGTTTTAAAACTGGATTCCGTAATTGGACTTTTGCTTGTGTAATGCTTATGTCCAACATAAACAAATAGACGAACTATATATATGTATATATATATAAGTATATATATATATATATATATATATATATATATATATATATATAACTCGGCCTTCACCGGCAGCCGAAAACAGGATAAGCGGACATCGAAATTATTGTTATATATTGTTCCCTACCCACCTGACCAGAAATGTGCAAATTTTTCGTCCTCAGTGTTCTTGCATTCCCAGTGTGTATATACGACCACAGTTATAAAACAACAAGTGAACCGAGTGACAACACATCCGTATGGAAATGATTGCCATCGCGTAAGCTAAATTGCTCAAACTGTTTGGAAGCTGGAGATGCATTTTTAGCGTACATACATCGAATAATTCGGTTTGGGTGCCTCGCATGGTTCTTGATATAATTGGATGGATCAATGGACCAATATTCTTTATCCTTTTGACCTGACGTGGCATCTTACAGGTCATTACTACATTATTACACTAAATTGCATTATCTCCATGTCTACTGGAGCCCATCCGATAACATTTTTTCAGACTTATTCAACGTAATTGGCCGCATCGTTATAGTGTCCGTAGTCCTTTCAGTTATAGGAGAGTGGACCTGATTGGTCAGTCAAAAGTAACACTCACCATTGTTTTGCCATTGGTCACACCTATCTGGTATAGTTTACGAGAGCTTTTCATTACCATCATCCCGTAACCCTAGTATGCTTGGCTTTCGAAATCTGCCGCCGGTGAGGTAGGGTCAGGGGGCTGATGAGGCCCCTTTGCAGAGCGACGGTGGAAAGGCGCCTACTGGACCAGAGCTTCTGTCTAAAACCCATTTACAACATATCGATACAGGAGCATTCAACCTCAGAACCTTCATCCAATTGGCATTAGACTAAAAAGCATTTCGGTGACTTAAAACTAGGTAAATATAAATTTACGCTCATTTTCATTTCGCATCTTAACTTATTGACACGGCGCGGAAAAGAACAAACATCATCCGGCTATTTGCATTCGGAAAAAGCATCCGCATAAGAACATCTCGGATATTGGTCTGGATACTTTATAAAACATGGATCTAATTTCGTAACAAATCTGAAGTGCACGGAAACTAGGATAAAAAGGAGCGAGACCCAATGTTTGTCGTTGGGTCTATATAAATAGCAAGTTGGGTTTGCTGCGGAAGCGTTCTTGCTTCGTCAGCATCATGGGTAGCGCAACGTATGATCGGTAGTAGGGAAACGGGGACTGGGTTACCGATGAAGGACGTAGGTCGAACCCGTACTCAGAGGCTGTTCAGCTTAACCTCCCAAACCATTGCGTTCCTTATGACCCAATGTTTTAGGTTTAGGTTTAGGTTTGGGTTTACGGGGAAATAAATACAAGGGATCCTCCCCGGATATCACAGTTGTTAGAGCACCGGACTCACAATTAAGAAGACCCTGGTTCGAATGCCAGCAATTCCAAAGAGGGAATTGGGGCCGTGACGCATGCATGGCTGATAGCCCAGCATCATCCAGTCCCTCCTAGGACTTCATCACGCCTGGCGACGGCCAGAGAGTCAGCTGGCCGAAACGCTGTGTAACAACACACCAGATGAGGACGATAGTCCAAACAATTACTCCAACCGTGATACTAATACGTCGCCTCAATCCCTCCATAAAACTGTTCACGAGACCTTACAATATACAAATTATGGTTTCAAATACAATTATGCTATGGTCATAACCCAACATGGGTAGCAGGCAATGTGTCGTTGGTGCAAAAGTCCCTGCAAGACCGCTGAATTAGTAATGTACATGTACCATATTTAGGTTGACGGGAGGAAAGCGTCTCAACTTACGCTTCATGGACAAAACCAGAATAATACGTCTATAAATACAATTATTTCCCAAAGATATTTAAAATTTCCCTCACTTCGAGAATTCATTTCGAAGTAACGAGAGTCAAGTTACCCTGCTACATCCACCCCGAGGAAGCCACTGCGTGGATGGCTCACCGTGCCAAACGTTACTAATTCTCACACATGCATTCAGGGAATAAATTTCGAGCAATCATCGTCATCCATGAATTTTTTCATACGCTGTCTCCACCAGCCGAAGGTTCTGCGGGCTTTAAGCTGAACACTTAAATTAATGCGCAATTCTTTAAAACGCTTAAACGGCTTAAATCACACTTAATGGCGTCCTGCTGTGAGTGATGCTCTTTTATTCTAGAATCAGCGAAAAACCATACCCATTGGCTTCGATGCATGAAGTTAAAGTTTATGAAGCCACTGGTCAAGCCTTGTTTCAATGTAGTTTAAGGTTGGTGTGAACTATTCTTACCGCATGTTATCAACACCTATTATTTTGCGCGAAAAATTAGTATATTTGGTATTCAAAAAAACCTTTCCCCTTTCACTGGTAGCTCCGAAAGCCAATGGATTTGTTGGGGAACCCAAAACACACGACTGGTACCATTCACTTTGGGGGGGGGGGGGATTTGGGGCCATGACCAAAACGACACCTGATCTGCTAGTGTCTGGCTACGATGGAACACAAAGAGAAAAAGAGCATGTGAACCATTGCAAAAATTGCCATCAAGGTGTCAATAATTCACGATTTCCAGATTTCCGGTGGCTGAGTCAAGTGGAGTACGCAAATTCTGAAAATCGCACTACAATAATGAAAGAGCTTCAGCATGGCTGGATTTGGACAGGTGGTTTGGTTCAAAGGTGATCAATACTTAACTTTTCTTGAATTATCTACTGCAGCCCTTGTCACCTTTAAGAACAAACGTATCTCACTTTACCTGGCAGAGGTTTTTACCCTCTCCCCTCTTAAAATCAATCGAGCATTTTTGGACCTTTGCCGCGGGGGGCATTCATAGTCTTGACCAGTGTCCTACGCAATGTGAGGCAATTCACGCCTTTTTATTGCAAACAAGACTGGAAGGGGGGGGGGGGTATATCAAAACATCACCTGAGCAACGGCGCGCTTAGGTCAGGGGCGGATCCAAGATTTCGTCAAGGGGGGGGGGTACGCAACATTGTGGGGCCCCCTGGAGTCTGAGGCCCCCTCCAAAAAATATCCTTGCATTTCGGTCATTGCATTGTAAGACAAGTCGTGTGCAATATATATATATATATATATATATATATATATATATATATATATATATATTCTTATTCATTTATTTAATAAATACGGAAACCCATCTTACTGTGCACAGTCCCATAAAGCTAGGCGTGTTACGCATGCACACATGTAGAGCTCACTTATTTTCTACAGATCATTTTTTAATGCTGTGATTTTGAGGCCAAGTGTCTCGGAACAACAGGCAAAATAAACTTGCGTTGGCTGCTAACAACCATCAAACGAAGCATGGACTTGATTCCTAATGCAGAACTGTTCCTTTGTTATAAAGGAGTGTAACGTATCGTAACATTCAAAATATGTTAAGAACGTGATGCACTAGTATAATAAGTGTCACACACTCAACAGCCAATGGAAATGACATACGACGGCGGCGGCATGTAAAATTACGTTCGGCAATTGCGCGTGAAAATTCATCGGCGCATATTCGACTGCTAGTCTTAGACCAATACACTAAGGCCAATAGGGACGGAGCCTGAGCGATGATGGGTGCCGCGGAGGCCGACAAAGTGTCTCCAGTCAACAAGCATAAGGTCCCCAGAGCAAGCAAAAAGAACCCAAGACCAACGTGGTGGGCCCCTAAACGATTGGTAGTGCCTCAGCAGGCTGAAATATAAAGCCCCGGACATAGTACAGGACCCTCCGAGCAAAGGGGAATTATCCAACACCATAAATTAATATCTCTGCGCGATCAAAACTGCACGGGCAGGTTAGCAACATCAGCCTCGATAGGAGTGAAGAGTCTTC